ATAGGGTTTTGGGGCCCTTTATACTATACTTATAATAAGGACCCCCCAAAATATTATAGGTAATTATTGCGGCCCCTGTATTAGGAGACTCAAGGCTCACCGGATTCCTTTGGCGGTTCCTTTCAGACTTCTAAGAAGGCACGGGAAGGAGAGGAGGGAGGAAAGGGGCAGGGGGAGCAGTGAAAGGCACGGATGAGGGGTGCGAGAGAGACAGAGAAAGCCAGCGAGATGATGTGCAAGTGGCCACGACATGTCCTAAGTACTAATTTCAGCCTGGCGCCTGAAGCATATAGAGCATATGCGTCCCAACGAAACCTCCAGATTCTCAAAGCACTAAACCCCCTAAAGGGATAAGCCAAGCAGCTTGCACGACGCAGCTCTCTCCTGTCTTCGCCGACGAGCAGTTGTGGGTGAGCAGTGGACTGTCCGGCGCCCCAGTGCATGTCCTCCCGGCGCGATGATCGACTGTTTCCTAAAGCCCACTATATGGGAGTTTCCGAAAATAGGGGACCCTAATATAGTACCCTAAATAATAGGATCCTTTTTATAAGGACCCCAAACTAAGGTACCCTAATTTTCGGAAACCCCCATATAGGCATAGAGCCAGAAAGCTCGTGAAGGATGGCATCTTCTTCAAATGACAAGAGTCGAAACCAAAGCTTAAGGAAAACTTCTCAAATCAACGGTCTTGGACTCTCCGGCCCGAACCCGAAAGCCCGCAACCTCAAGGAACACTACGACGTTGACAATACTGCTGGCAAGACTGACCCTAGCAAACATGGGTACGGCTTGGGGCTTATAGGGTTTAGGGCTAAGACTCTCATATGCACTGCTGACTGTAGCGGTACGCACAAATATAAACGGCAGTGATCGGAAGAAATGCTGCTACAGTACAACAAACGATGATAAGGATAATCCGAGCATTACGACAACCTGTAATCGTTATAGCAAAAAGAATCACAAACCAAGCACATAGGCAGTTCTGTACCGTAGGGCCCCTTTTAGGTCCCCATACTGTTGATGGACAAAATCCTGCATGACCTTATTTACCTAAACTATGGGATTTATGGTACTATACTCTATTTGGGTCATGCAGAATTTTGTCCATCAGCAGTATTAACAAAATTACCCTAAATCCACAACTTCGTTCTTGACCCCTGAATTTCCTGGAGATCAAGTGAGATGCCAGAGGAGCTTAGTAGTTAAGGGTCAAGGATGTAGGTCCCTTACCTAAATCTCAAAGCGTCAACCACAGGCTCTTGTAGAAACCCTTATAAAAGAACTGCTGCTGGGGCATACAGACAGAGACATGGGGGAGGGGGGGGGGGCAGGCGAGTAGCAATTTCAGCGTTGTCAGGACCAAAACTCCAAAAAGCCCTCTAAAAAACCCTAATTATGGAAGCCTGTAAACCCCTTTAAACCCTAAACCCTAGACCCTAGACCCTAAACCCTAAACCCTAAACCCTGAACCCCTTTTGTGTGTACCTCCCTCTCCTGCTCATGCAGGTGGGACCCGGTGACTCAACGGCGGGCCAGCTACTGGAGGAACCTGGGGGGCATACTTGGGGTTCCTTTAAGGGTTCCTTTAAGGGTTTAGGGTTTAGGGTTTAGGGTTAAGTGGGCTACTGGAGGAACCTGGCGGGGGATACTTGGAGGTTCCTTTAAGGGTTCCTTTAAGGGTTCCTTTAAGGGTT